TCTCCAGCTGGATTTAGCTCCAAATGGCTAAACTCTGAACAGACACATAAGTACAGAAAGACATGTGCATACAAGGATGCCAGAAACAGAGCAGAATGATGATATCCTTCCAAGAAACGACTACAGAACAGTTCACAAACTAGGCATTCAGCCCCCTCAACTCAGGAAAGAGTTCGTGTGCTGTTAGTATCTAGGCATCAACCTCCCTTCTGGTTTTAATACAGTATCTACAGCTCCCCTTAGCCAAAAAAAAAAAAAAGCAAGCAACAAGTCTGATAACAAATTCCTCTGCTTCAAATACAATCGGTCATCTTCAAGACGCCGGCAGTCTTACATTTTTCCCCTAAGAGGCAAGAATGTATTCCACGGTGTTTAAAATCTTTGGAAGCGTCTTCAGGGGACATGCCACACTGTAACCTTGGTTAAGAAGTGTCACGCTAACTTTGCTTCACATTTCCTCTGGTTGGCTAAGGCTCTAGAGGAGCCCTTCTCGCAGCCCAGTGTCACACATTCGCAGAGTGTTGGCGGCGTGGCAGGCAGCAGTGCGGACACTATGCCAGATGTGGCAGAGTAAGCTAGCTGTGACCTCACGCATCCTTGCTGTCCCCAAATGACAGCATCCCAGCCTCGCCTGCCTCCCTCCCAGGGTATTCCTCATGGCTACACTATCATGCACCCAGCTACACAGTCAGGAGTCAGCTAACTCATCACACAAAAATGCACAATCTCAACGTGGATTAGTTCCATTTCGCTTTTACCATTAAAACTCTTCTTGGCAGCATCCTCAAGTAAACAGTGTTATAATAATGGCAGGTAGATAATGATGTTGCCCAGAAAAACTGAAAATATTTTTCTACCTAACACATCCATTTCAAATTAATGTTTTTCTGCAAAGTAGAAAAATCCTGACACCAAACCTTACAGGCAAGAATAAAGAGCTCGGTTGCAAATAAAACCCAAGGTACAACTGAAACATGAGAAAAAGGCATACAAGAGGTTGAAGCAGGGACAGGTGACGCAGGAGGAATACAGAGACACTGTCCAAACCTGCAGGCACAGGTTCAGGAAAGTGAAAGCCCACTTGGAGTTAAATCTGGTGAAGAACATGAAGGGCAATGAGAAGGGCTCCTACAAGTACACCAGGAAAAAAACGGAAGACTAGAGAAAACATGGGCCTGCTACTGAATGAGAAAAGGTACCTAGTTCAAAAGGACAAGGAAAAGGCAGAGGTAGTCAATGCCTTCTTCAGTTTTCACTGGTAAGACTGGCCTTCAGATATCCCAGGTCTCTGGGACTAGTGGTGAAGTCTGGAGAAAGGAAGGTCTATCTTCAGTGGAGGAGGATCAGTTTAGAGAACATTTAAACAAATTGAACACACACAAGTCCATGGGATTCAGCCCCAAGTGACATCACACAATTCCCTCGGCACTAAGAGGCCACTCTCCATTATCTCTAAAAGGACATAGTCACAAGGGAAGATTCCTGAGGATTGGAAGAAAGCAGCTGTCACTCCTATTCAATAATGGCAAGGAGGAGAATCTGGGGAGCTACAGGCCACCAGACAGCAAATGGTTAAAACCAGCATGCTCTGACTGTAACAAAGCATACTCTGATCACAACAAAGCATGCTAATCCTAGGAATTCATTTATAGCACTGTTGAAGTAACAGGTTATGTTCAATATCATGCTAACGAAACAGTGAAAGAGAACGTGAAAAGTTTATATAGCGTACATACACTGCCCCTATCAGTTCAGAAGAGGAAGTCCCTACAAATCTAGTACCATCTAGTCCAACTCTAGTTCTTTATTTAATCCTCTGGCCTTAGCTGTAACCTCCAAAAGAAGGGAGCACTCATCTTTACTTACTCTTGCCCTCTCCCTCCTAATGTGTTAGCTGCACGCATTAAATATGCACAGATCCATTATGTCTGCAGCCAGTGCAAATGCCCCCCAAAATAGGTACATTAGTATCAATAACACAGACAAAGGAGATACTCCTTTTTTTGGTGCCAATGTCAATTTCTGCATTGTTGATTAAGAATTTGCAATCTACTAATTGGCTGGTTTTAACTGACAGGATGTGGTGAGAGGGTTAAAAACTGAAGGACAGTCAGATAACTTATCATTGATATTTTGAATCTTTACCTTGAAAAACATAAAAATGTACAGTTATCCAGATTACCTTAATGCCTTCCAGTACTGGTGCTGTATCTTTCAGCATCTCCGAGTGCATCGCCGTATCTGCCCTTGCCACTTCCTCTTCAGTATCCATAGCCACCTGACTTTTTTTAACTTGCAGAGGAGCTGCTTCAAGATCTACTGCTGATTCCACTTCTTTCTAAATTTGAAAGACCCACGAAGTTTTAATTAAAACAAAAATAACGTTATTTGTATTAGCATCAGTAAAGAATGACTTCTTAAATAGAAATGGCTGCCAAAACTGCAACATATTGAGTGGTTTCACATAAAAGACCCCAATTGCACTTCAGGATCTATACCTGTGAGCACCTGAGGTTTAATTCACCAGCAAACAGGCCAGCAGCTTTTATAGTCAAGTATATACAATGACATTATCAGGTTAATGACAAATAGAAAGAGCCAAAGACAAAAACAATTATATTTAAAGTATGGGGCGGGGACCAAAATCCGAACAAAACCACCACTTTTTCTAGGGGACTAAATGGCTTCTCTTATTACTCTAATTAAGAGGAAAGAGAAATCAAGGATCTGTAAGACTGAGAACTTTTTTTGTTTCACAGTGAACCCTTCTGTGTTGCAGTCTGTTTTAATATTTTCCCCACATCTTCCTTGTGTGGATTTAAAGTCCAGTTTCTTGCCAACAACACCCAGAACAGAGGCAATAACGTGTAAAAAAATAGCACGTTACATCACTGACATTTATTTCTGAAGAGCTGAGAGCAGAACTTACCATGGCTGCAACTTGAAGGGTTTCTTTGGCTTTCTCTGCAGCTTCAGATATTCTTTCCATCTCTTTTTCTTCATTTTCTTTCCTGATGGCTTCCTCTTCCTGAAGTGTTGCTTCCAGCCGAGCTTTGTTATCTATTTTTTCACCTTCAACTTCTGCCACTTTGACTTGAGCCTCTTTGGCCTAAAAGTAACATAAGAAGTCTATTCAAGCCTGCATGTGTGTATATATATGTATGTCTACATAATGTAAGAAGTTTATGTATCCTTATTGACACAGGTAGTACCAGCATGCTAACGGATATAGTTAAAACCCTACAGTTACCCTATTCTTTCATTTCTCAGAAAAAGACAATGATCTTTCTTTGAAAAGAAGAACTTGCCACCCTGAAATCATACACATTCTTCATTCTCTTTCTCTGAAGACTACCAATTCCCTCTCTACACATCACCGTCAATATTTTCATACATTAGTGTCTTTATATTGCCCAGAGCATAGATTGTTTTTTATATAAGAAAAACATATTCTAAGTCTCCTTATGCTACCACTGTCCACCATCATGCAATGAAATATTGCCTTTTCTTGCTTTATTTTCAGACCCCTCCACATAAAAGCCAACTACTTCTGCGTTTGAAGGTCACTCAAACCTATCCATGCTTTAGCTTTCCAAGGAAAAGAAAGAAACCAAGATAAAGGATATCTTCAGTGACAATACTGACAGTCAGCTACAGACTTCATACATCGTAGAATCATACATCATACATCAATACTTACAACACTCTCTGGTAGTGTCTGAAGTGTTGTTTTGAGCTGATCAGCTGGAGAAAGGGTATCTGGAAGATACATGGCTCTGGATAAAATAAGCAATGACGTAGGGATTTCCTGGTTGAGATGCAGATCCAACCACTACAAACACAGTAAAAAACCCAAATCTTCAACTTCTGTTTTTTTAAATTTTTTCTTCTTTTACAGATCAATTCAAGCATACACACAAAAATAGTACTTTTTTTACTACTAATCAGTCAATATCGTAGCACAGGAACTACAGACTACAAGCAGCTAAAAATTATAGCAATTGTATTGATATATATGAAGTAGCATTTGGTTTGAAAAAGTATTTCAAGAAAAATTTAATGAATATTTCAAAGAATGTTTTGTTTCACATGCATTTTTGACTAAACTAGGCAACACCAAAAGACAAGGAACTGATCTACATGGAGAAAAGTTCATTTCAGACTAATACAAATAATTAAAAAGGCAAACTGCTAAAACTGCAAATATATTTTGGATATGTTTAAGTCTAAGTATCTATCTGCACCATCAAAAACATCATTGCTTGGTCAAATGCCAGAAATCACTGCTACAACATCCTAACATAGTACCCATGACAACATATTATTAAGGAGAAAAACTGTTTTAGCCAAGCCTTTAATGAGAACAGAAGCAAAACAACGTATCATAAAGAAAAAACAGTTAGTTAGGTCTGTGCATCTGGTCCTGCAAAAACATACCTGTTTAAGCTGTTCCTTAAGACGTTCCTCTGTCACACCAAGAGCTCTCATACCTCGGGCACGACAAGCTGCCTGCAGTTCTTTAACCGTCAGGCTATCAACTCCTTCTTCAGCAATCAGCTGCACAAAGCGTAAAATGAACTTTAACATGCAACAGCCCAAAACTAACCAACCACCACCACCGCACACCCAGAAGTCCCCATTTTTACAGTGGCCACTAGAGGCCGCTGTGACAACGCAAAAACAGCTCCTGCTTGCTCAACTGTGAACACGATACTGTCTGCAGCCCTAACAGCTCCATAATGGTAACGTCAATCTCTCTCTAAATTAGTATTTCTATCAGCTCCCTTACAAACCATAGTTTCACAGAAATGCTTTTCTTTGTAACATCATTACATTCATTTCAATTAATGGCAGATTAAAAAAAAGTGTTAGCTTTTTCTTTACCAAAAAAGGACACTTCTGATTTTAAGCTCTTCAAGCATTTTCATTCAAAGTTAGCTCAAAATTAAGACAATTAAGAGAAAAAAGGAAAATGCCTAGAAAGACAGACATATACACACACATACTCACTACTCTTATGTACCTAAATTATTAACTAGTGCCAATTTAGAATGACTTACTTTGTCATCTGCCTTTATGCTTCTCAACCTCATAGTCAGCTGGAAGCGGAGAAAGTTATTTGTGCCAATTGACTGAAGCTCCAACAATTTACAAAGTGCTACCAACTGAGGCCTGGTTAGATTGTCCAGAGTCAACTCATCTTCAAACAGTTTAGAGAACCTTAAGATCTCCTCATTACTGGGTCTTTCGCCAGTTTCTCTGATCTGTAAGAAAACAAAAGAAAACACACAAAAAGCTTTTCAAATTAAATGTTATGGTTGGACACTATTTTGAACAATAAAAATATTCTCATTTGTCAAGTAATTTGCATCTGTTTTGATATTAGGAAATATGACACATGGAAGACATGAAAGAAATTTTAAAAAACACTTACTGCTATAAAAGGCAAAAGAATTGATGGTGTTGATCATTTCCAACAACACTGCGTAACATAAGATACAACCAACATAAACCCAAAACCTAGATGCATCTGCATATTAATGAGTAGGTCTGAGTTGACACTGCCATGGGATACCTCAAAAAAAAGAGCTGATTGAATAAATAGTCGCTACAACAGTCACACTGGCAAGTATTCTGTTATCGCATTTAATAAACACAGAAGCACATTAAAAGTGTCACACTGTGAAGTATGTCCCATAGTTTTGCAACGTTGGTGTCCCTATGAAATGCTGATTTGGACACTCACCTACCTAGAATTCTCTCCACGACCACACTTATTGCAATACTGTTTTGCTTCCAGTTCCTAGCTGTTCTGCGGCACCTCAGTGCAAATGCACTTGTACTTGAAGTTATTCCAAAGTATAAACCACTATTTGGAAAGGACTCTGCATCCTTCTTGATGGAAAGTTCTATGTAACTCCTTGTACAAGTGCAAAGTCAAGCTTTTCAGTGATGTGTTGCCAAATGGCACTTCACAGTAATTAAATCCAAATACTGGAAGCAGAAAAGTATCACTCCCTAGCCTCATCAGGGCATAGTAAAACATTATCACCTGCATAAATGTTGATTTTTCTATTTTAAGTATACCATTATTAGTGGTATTACTGAATCCAAAATCTACAGAACTTAACAATGAAGTATTCCCAGTAACTTAACACCTTCAGTCTAAACAGTAAGCACATAGCTAGCCAAAAACCATTTTTCCCAATCTCTCTACCTTTTTATAAGCCCTGTAAAGAAAATAAGTGACATCAAGTACAGTCTGAAAGCCTGACATCACCCATACAGCCTGATTTATTATGCCTACCTGCTTTATTTACCAACTCAAATCTTTTAGTGAACGGCTACTGAGCACAGGAAAATATAAAAATCTGGAAGACAAGATGGTCTTGAGTCCATTAACCTCCAGGATACTCATGTAGCAGAGAAACCAGCTCAGAGAAAGAAAAGGTCAAAGGCCTCGTTCCACTTCACCAGCTCCTTCATTACAGGACCCAAAAATGGAACTTCAAAAATAAAGTATTTTCTGCCTTGTTTAAAGCTGAATTTTGGCAGAACCAAACGTGTTTCCTCAGAGTACAAACTGAAACTTTCATCACTAGCTACACAGCAGTACAGAAATTCTGGAATTCTGCAGCATACATTAAGCCTGTAATCAATGGTTCTTGCAGCATCAAATACTTCACTGCAGAAGCAGCTATAAAAAAACAGCAAAAAGGTGAGAAACATTGAAGAGGCTTCTTATTCTGACATTCATTATCTAGTACAGTAAAATCAGATCAATAAAGTTTGTTTCCATGGCACAACTGAGAAACTTATAGCTGTAAAAAGCACACCCACACAGAAGAAATGCAGGTCTTGAAACTTGTTTTTAGTCATCAGAGGAACTTGGGACTTCCTCCAGCAAATGTGGAGTGATACGTCATTTATTTCCACAGAAATTAACCGCCAAATGTAAATTCTCAGTAGCAGTTCTTTCAGAAGAAAATGAAATGTTCCAAACATGAAGCATGGCAGTGGCATGCTCCCAGAGCCTGCAGCGTCAGTACTTCAGCTACTGACTGCTAGAAGACACCATTTAAAACTTTCTGCAGATGAAAAAGAACAGAAGCAGATGATTGCATAGAAGCTTCAAAGTACACAGACTTTGCAAGCAGACACCAACGGGCAAAACTTGCCAATGCCATTATCTGAGGTAACCTACTCAGCGCTAACCCCATGATCCTATTACCCCACCCTTTAAAACTTAAATCTCAGCACTGAGAAGCAGGAAAAGCTCAGTCTAGCTGACAGGACTTGTAAAGTTCATCTCTCAAATCCCCTGGCTCATGTGCCTTTTCCTGTGCAAATACATACGTTCCCCAACGGGGGAGACTACATTCTTACTTTCAAAAAAACCCCACCCCCTGGCAGCAGCAGAAGCAGATTGTTGTCTCAACCTCCTATTCAATAGCCCTATAATTACAGAAATTAGAAAAAATCCTATCTTGAAAAGATGTAAGAAGGTATTTTTCATCTCTCCAGAGAATACCTTACCGCTATTTAAAACGTGGTGAAAGGAAACACTGTCAAACCTGAAGGCCATCAATGTAGGAGGCAGATACCTGACATTTAGTCTCTGTCAGCAACTGCTTGCGAATGGGAAAATTTTGTACCAAAAGACAGCACTCACATTCCTGCAAAACCCCAGATTATACCACATTCTAGTCAGTGTCCAGAAGGATTTCAGCAGTATAGCAACTGGGCACTTAAAACTGGTTTTATAAGCAGAATTAAATTTGACCAAAAAAATACTTTGCTTTCCCCCCACGAAGTTTTCGTCAGTTAATTAAGAACTCCTTTCTCCCACTTTGTACACCAATGTTCAAAAAAGTCAAAAACTACATGAGTAATAAAAAGAATTATGCACTCAGTGATATCAGAATTAACTTACTAACAAAATAAGAGAACAAGATGTGAATGAACAGAAACATACTGCTTCTAGAATCGACCAGAGAGGCAAAGTACCAGCTAGAACAAAGCTAAAACCAGTAAAATCTCAGCACACTGAAGTATTACTTGAAAAAAATGAAATCTATTCTAAAAAAGAGAAAATTACATCCTTCCTGTTCAGATCCAACAGAAAAAAGGTATCTGATGATTACCGTAGACCAAAGAAAACACCAACCTATTTTTTTGGTAGGAAGAGAAAATACATTTTTAGAAATTTTTTACCTTTTGAAAGAATGTTGAAAAATCTTTTGTAACATTTCCTTTGGCTGCTTTATTTTTTAAGGCCATCTCCTCAATTGTGTCTTGAAGGAACTTAGCCAATTCAAGCTTTACTCTCAATTCTTTCTTCAATCTTTCCTCCTGTTAAAAAAAAACCCACACCTTGGTTTTAAAAGATCTTTCTAGAAATCTCCCCCGTAAATACTACTTCTTCTGCCCTCAGACAAGTCATGTGGAGTAATTCTGAACTTCTGCTATAACACACTCATCCAGGTAAACCAGGATGGTGCTGGTTCATTATTGTATGTTAACAGCAAGACCATCAAAATAGACAAAAAAATTCCCCTAATGCCAAAAAATATATCTGATTTTTAGAATTTTTCTGATTTCTTTCTTTACTGAGAAAAGTTCTAATTTCTTCAAAACATATTACTGGATTATAAATTCAGACCTGCTTACCTTTTTAGACTTTGTCTCAAATGTAGAGGGAAGCATATTAGGGAACAACTTAAGAGCTACTGGAAGCAAAAATTCCATAAATGGGACAACAAGAAAAACTAGGAAAGGGACCAAGCGGAAGAGATCGGCACATATTCGAAGAAACTGGAAGAAAAAAGAAATGTATTGATAAACAAAATTTGAAACATTTACTTTAAAAATACTTGATATGATCATTCACATTATCACTTAAGCTCACATACATAGAGTTGGTACAAGGAAATTTAAAATAACAGAGGAAAAGCATATGACAAAGTCAGTTCTTAGTATCTTTTTCTTCAAGTTGCTATATACTACAGAGTGCCAGAGTTGCACCAGTCTTCAACACTATAGAAAGTATTTCAAAAGCCTCACTGTGTCTCAACAGGATTATTGAACAAGTATCTCATTTAAACCTCTTAAAAGCACCTGAAAACAGGAGGTGGTCATTTGGTGTCTTTAAAGCTGCTTAACTCCTTTTATTCATCTTTCTTTGTGCTCCACCACTTCTTACATGCATGAGCTACTACAGACTAAGTAATCAAGAATAAAATGAAAGATCCCTCCCCCTCTGCCTTATGACAATTGTAATGTATATTTAAATCCAGGGTAATGAGCCTAGCTTGGTAGATTTTTTTTTTTTAAACCACTGCTTTTCTAGAGCAGTAATCCTCTAAAGAAGGCAGATGCATTAGTTACCGAAACTTGAACTGCATAAAATAAATACTGTCCTTTTGATTTCTGTACACCACAAATGTATATATTAGGCTGTATGGTCTATAATCAAATATTTCAGTACTCACTGGAAGCTTAATAACTCGGTTTATAGTGGGGAGTGCAGATCTTGCTTGACTTTCACCTCATTTTACAAAGCGAATAACTGGTTATTGGTTATACCACTGGTTCCTCAGTTAGAGGCTGAAGGTCATACGTACCCTACAGTACACCACTGTCATTCAACACTGTGATTTGATAAATACAGCTATGACTGACAAAAAAATGGCAACAAAAATGCTGTTAGGGAAGTAAATGCGTGCTTCCCCCTCTGTCCCCTCCCCGCAGCTCAGGCCAATCCAGGGGAACAGCAGCAGCCACCAGTAGAGATTGTATGTCACTAGGACTGCTTTGCTAGAATACAAAAACCAGTAAAACTCCAACCATAATTGCCAGCATGAAACCAGCCAAAATCTTAAATCTGTTTGAGGAATGCACAAACTCCACAGATCCAAAGTTCAACATTTTTCTTTGTATATAAAACCCCCCAGTTTCCCAGAACAGATGCTTTGCTCCATTGTTTACAAGCTCAAAGATTTTCCCATTCATTCCAACAATAGAAGATAAATAACTACCAGAGAGTTCAAAAAGATGGAAGAAAGTTTGAAAGAAAATTTTAAAAAGTCAGAAGCACAAGCACATTTTCCCTAAAAAAAAAAAAAAACACAAATCAAAAACCCACCCCAACACCAAACTATTCCAAAATTTCTAGAGTGCAGTACAGAGTTCCTATTCCTACCCAGTATCTATTTTTGGACAGTGTATCTGTAGGAGGCAGAATCCATATTTAAGGAAGCAGTTTTACAGCCGGATTACGCTAACCTAATGCTAACCTGAGACAACGCCTAAGAGCCACGAACGTGCGCTGGCAGTCACAATGTGAAGCTACACCACTGATCCAGCTACGACTAACCCGTAAATAGATAGGCAGACAAGGGAAGAAGGATCAGCACAACCCAAAAGAAGGGGGAGAGGTGTCGGAAAAATTGATTTGAGCACTGTGTGGGACTGGCCTTTTTCACAGCAGCACTGCCTGGATCAGCTTACACAAATCATGAAACGGCACCCTCTGCTAACTCAAGGGAAACAACTTTGCAAAGGAACCTAATACAATGGTGCACGATTACACCCACATTATTTGGCAGCACAGCACGAAAAACTTGTGACTACTCCGTATCTGCTCCTGCAGTTCAATGCATCCCGCTCCGCCCTCCTCCTCAGGGCTGAAGAAATCGTAAAGCTGGTAAACTTGCCACAAACTCCATGCTGCTTGCCACCTCACTTCCATGTCCCCAGCCATCCTGCTGCAGGAAGCAGCACTAGAGCAATTAAGATTTTAACAGCCAGTATCGTATTGTGCACGTTTGACTTCCTCCTGCCTTCCCTCCTAAGTGTGGATATGCGATCCTGTTGAATCCAAATCCTACCAGCAATTGTACAGTTGGGATTTTGGAACTGACTTTTGGTTTACATAAGCAATAGCTCCCTTGCATTAGCCATGCTGCAATTGCTTGTTAAAGCGGTCAGATTACTTGGATATCTTTCCATTATTGCCTCCAAAGAGGAAGGAAAGGGCAGGCAGAAACAACTCATTTGTCAGTCTGCATGAAGTTAAGACTTCCCCAGGACCGTCAGTTCGTAGGCAGTTTAATATGTTTAAAGCAGTACATACTTCGATTTTAAGTTTAGGAGCAACTTTGGCAAAGTTTTAGCTAATCTGGCATCAGAGATTTAAGTCGTCTTTAAATCAGCCAGTATACTACAACTGAAGGTTGAACAGGTGAAAAATGAACCGTGCTGAAGGAAACCTTCAAGTTTAAAAAAAGCACACGGAAAGGGCTTTCTTCAGCTGTAGGCGGGTTTGCTTTTCACTGACCCTGGGTTCTAAGCCTACCACCACTCTGTTCAAGAGACAGGACATCTTCTACCTCCATATTAAAGAAAACACAAACCCTAGATTGAGAAAACAGTATTACTGTAGTTCTTAAATCTATTTTCTCTACATCTTCTACCCCAGATTGCACGCTTACTGAGACGTGCATCATTTGATAAGAGACAGGCTACATCAGTGTAAACACTAATTTACACCTGCACAGTAAATTTCTTTTATATTTAAAATAAGGGAATTGATACCGAAATAGCACATCTGCAGGGGCACACATCATTTGATAAGAGACAGGCTACATCAGTGTAAACACTAATTTATACCTGCACAGTAAATTTCTTTTATATTTAAAATAAGGGAATTGATACCGAAATAGCACATCTGCAGGGGGAAAAAAAAAAAAAGAATTCAGGAAGGCCAGATGCCAGACCTCTACATAAATAGGAGAAAGACAGCTCTGTCATCACTAGATGATGAAAATAAAGGGCAATCAAATGAATAAATCCATCTACTGATGGAATAATGCACGTGTGTCCAAAGATAGCTTATTTTTTCTAGATGTTCATGCCTTCTAGAACACAGTCCTGATCCTTCAGCAGAAACATTCCCATGACATCCACATCTTACTGTTATTCATATAATTTCTCAGAAGTATGGCTCAGCAAACACGAAACAGGCAGAAAAAGCAGTGGTTCCAATTATGCCCTCTGGAGGATTTGATTCCGTTTTAAACCACAAATTAATTTGTCTTACTCGGTTTTCCAAGTTTCCCAAAACTCTCAACAAGCCAGAACTGCTACTTGAAGAAGTCCTGCGGTCCTCATTCCACCCTATCCTCAGTTACTCTTTCCTGGCACTACATAATCCCCTCTATCACGTCAGCTCAGACTGTTATATTTATTGCTGAGCAATGTTTCAGCTGGCTCAGCTGCCAAACACTCTTGTACCAGCATAAGGAAGAGGGCAAAAATAAGCAGCATGAAGATGCTGAGACCAAATACCACCAGCCAGTGTTGTTGCAGAGAGAGACCAAATGTAAACACAGAAGAAAACTAACATGTACATTTCACAGCTTCTGGTATTTGTCTAACCTTGTGACTACAGGAAAAATCTTTTGCATGCTGCATTAATTATATACCTAATTTCATCAGGTAATTATTAAAACAATGACCAAATATTCCTATTTCTGATCGTTTAACAACATTTTTGAAGGCAGAGACGTGAACTAACACACTGAGTGTAAAGAGTACAAACTGCAGAGAACCAGGCTGCGACTGCAAGCAGCACTGTTCGTTTCTGCTGCCACAGTATACCGGCTTTTCACTTTTCAACACTTCTTCCAGCCCACTTTTTTATGCAAGAGCTGAAACGACTAATCTTTTTACATGCAGGAAGACTATATCAGTTCTAACCCAGCTTACTATTTTGCAGTCTTTCCATATATAAGTAAAGAGCTCATGTAAAATGTTTTAAAATATCCATATATATATACATTAATTCTAGTTGAATAAGCCTATTTACTTCACCCACAAACTGAATTATTGGAATGCATGTATAAATATCCTAATTTGAAACCATTCTCATTTTGTACTCCTGATTTCATTTCCATCCCCTCTTCCCTTTTCTTTAAAATTATCAGGTGCGTTTTTACAGTTCCATAAAATGTAAGCTACCTGCCACAAAGTATAAAAAAACCCCCACTTTCCTCAAATTATCTTCTTGGGACTAAAATTATCTCAAAAAACATATTTATAACTAAGATAGTACTAATATCTGATTATTGATCGTGCATGTCAGCCTGCAGCTTTTTCCATAAAAAAAAAAAAAAACCACCAAAACAAAGCACACAACAGAACTGTCCCAAATCCAACCTTTACTAGGAGTGTTTTCCCTCTATTTCTCCACCTGGAGTGAAAAAAGCAGAGAAAGTGACCACGCACACATGGATAGGAACTTGAGAACAAACTACAACTGCTGTCCAAATCACAAAACGAGAAGATTCCTCTGCTGTTCCAGCTAGAAAATACCAAATATAACTTCAATTAAAAAGAAAAAAATTGTTGTTGATCAAAAAGCAAGGGAATATATATGATTGCATATAATTTACAAACAGAACAGCCACATTTCTAAAAAGAATACTTTAGTATTTTAATGACAGGTTTATTGAATAATAATGGAGACCAAGACTAAAATGGTTTCGAGTCAAATCCAAAATTGTTAGTATCCACGTAGGGAGGAGGAGGAGGGAAATACGCCTAGCCATTTTAATTCCAGAAACAGAAGACAACAGAAAGGACCAACTCAGTTCAAATAACACCAGAGCAATCGCTAAGGATACTAAAACGAAATTGGTATTTACTCATTACCTGTCTCCGTTCTCGACGAGACAAAGTGTTTCCATGAAGTACTCGCCAGAGCATCCTTGCAGCTATTTTTGTGTCAATCCACAGTAATCGAAAACCATGGTAATAGTGTTTCAGTTCATCCACAACCCTCTGTCCCATAGTTTTTTTCACAACTTCCACCTCTGTTGGACTATATACCGGACCTCCTTCTTCCAACTTCTTGTTTTTGTCCTTTAAGGACTTCAATGACTTTTCAACTATGGAGTCATCTTGAAGGGGATGTGAAGAATGCCACCATCTAACTGAAAGATACTGGGGACGTGAAACACCCAAGGTTGCTGCTGGCTTCCAGGAGCCTGAAGAGCTCGTAAGTGTAAAGTATATTTGTTCAGATCCTTTAGTCCAACAACAGTAGCCATCTCTTTTGGAGTATGTGTAAACAGGAGCAACAGTAGTGCAATGTTTAAAGTGTACAGTCCTTCAAAAGGAAAAAGCATTTAAGAATTAGCAATAGGATCATAAGCTATTTACTTATTTATATATATAGTTACATGAGTGTATATATTTATAAAATGCATCATTTGAGAAACATCTACCCTGTATTTCAGAAAAAAAAAAAACCCACACCTGAAGATCAGAATGTCTATACAGGAGAACAACACTTGGCTTTAATTCATGACAAAAAAATGACCTACAGGGAATTTTCCATTAACCAACTTTGAAAAGTATCTTGTTTAACTCCAGTCAAATAAAGAGTAGCAATCAGAAGTGCCTGCCATCTAGAAAGCTACATATAAAAATAAATCTGTAAATCCCTAAGTAATAGAAAGCCCCTTCTATTACTACTTGTTCTGCTAGAACTTGAGAAAAAACACAAGTTGTAGACCTGGAATAGATGCTGCGGTAGGGGAAGTGAATTAGTACCAGAAAAACCCAATTTCACTAGAGTTCTTTCTTTACTACATCCATGCATCTAGTTTTCCTTTTCCAGCAGAAACTTATTACACAAACTTCCATCGTGGTACTGAGTTGGGGCACGCTGGACCAACAGGCTTCTGCCTTATTCTGAATTTTTTTCTTTTCGTTTAATTGTAAACTGAGGTCAGAAGGAAAGCATTGTTCAAACACCCCAAACAGTCATCATACAGATATTAGAACTACGCATTATATGGAAAAAGGCTTGTACTTCATCCTTTTCTAAAAGGATATGACAAACTTAAAATAGTAGGTACAATATTTTATACAAATGAGTTCCATTAGGTGTCCCTCAAAAATCAAGTACCAGCATTAAGTTGTCTCAACAAATAAAAATAACTACGGGATGGCAATAACTTGCCTCACCAAGCCTTTGTACTAGCAAACCAAAGTCAGAACGTGCATTTGTCCTCTGTGAATGAACAGAAAATAGGTGCAAGTGGCTCTACAGTTCTGAAGAACACTTTAAGGGGAAAAAAAAAAAATTATAACATTCAATAATTATCTTAAAACTTAATTGTCACATGAATTTTAAATTACTTTAAGGGTTTATTACTTTTTAAAGACAATTTTCTAGCTTAAACCAGAATTTTAAGTATCTGACTATTCAGAGATCAGGTGACTGTTGAAACATAAACAGCTACACAAACCATTCTTGATTAGCGAGAAAAAGACACACTCGCACAGATATTAACTAATGAGAATTACGGTTCCTTTAAGCAAATAAAGTACATATTCAGAATCAGATGAAAACACTTGCATAAAATCAACCCACCCTGCCTAAGTCATTTCCCAGAAGCAAAGCTTCAGGCCTACAGACTAAGTTCCACATACACATAGGTGTACACTCTTCTGCATGCAGAGAGGAAGGGAGCTCTGCCAACAGAACCGGTTCTGAATCCGCAGGGGAAAAAAATTCACAAGAAAAGTGTCTCTCTGGACACACTTTCACTAGCAGGATGTCAGACACAGAACTGCTGTCCCAAGCTATTCTCAGTACTTGTATCATAGGAGCCCATTACTTTTGAGTCTGGGTCATGTGGGGTGCGGGCAGTAGTGTGGTATTTTAAGCAGCAACATTACATGAACAGCAGCTTTTTGGTAAAAAAAGAACTTCTCAGAGAATAACAAAAATTTCTGTCCCAATATTATGCTGCTCATCAACAGATTTAAATCTGTAAGCTTACAGTCATCCAAGAGAGGCCCCATATAATAACCTACTAAAAAAAACAGGGATTTGAAAGTGCTTTCTATATTAAAAAAACTCTCATAAGCATTTATACAGTAAGTGATACAGAACTAACATGACAGAAAGGAATTACTTTGTTTCGTATGAGAGGGTTATGTCTAGAGACACATGGTAAAATGGAAACTAAGGAAATTGAAGAATAGCCACTGTTTCCTGAGCAGTTAGACTGTAAATAAAGGTGAGAATTCATATTGTAACGTTCCAAGGAAAGGCGTGAGGAAATTCATATCCACAAGTATGCCCTGTAAGCCAAGTCAGGAAGACAGAATGGATTCTGCCAACATCCAACACTAAGTTCCACAAGAGCACACAGTGGCTGGATTTGTTTTCAGAAGAGACCATCTCCTAGGAGAGCCCCACCCAAGGCTGTAACATACAGTAAACCACTTTGGTTTAATAAAGATAAAAAACTCCAATGATCTACATTCCTAGCTGTCAAGTATGTTTTTCAAACCAGCTTTGACTGAATGTTTACTCTACGGAACTCCACTGAGAACGTGTGCAAGAAGCCCATGATATCCCATGATGGCACCTGGAATCACTCAAGAACAAGATTCGCATTTGCTTTCACATCATAAGTGAAACAAAGAGGGAGGAAGTGGACAAAAAAAGGAAGATCTCGCTTTCCTTCTCTGACATACAACCAAGCGGGTGAAGAGAGTAATACTCAGACTTCCTTTAATCTGTCAATAACACAAGCTGAAGCTAATATTTTCACGCTTTGTCTAGAAGATTCAAACCTACATTCTGTGACAGTACACTAACTGATGGTTCTGCACAGTTCTGAGTTTAGAAAAAAGTTCGTATATACTCACATTTTGTTTGCCAGCCTCAGGGATGTACAGCTAAGACATGCCCGATCTCCCAAGTTACCTAGAAGAATACCAATAATTAGCATTAATTCTGAAGTCCAAGACGACATTTAGCCAAACAGTGAACGGTACACAAATACGTGATTGGAAAGACCGACCTTTACTTAGGAGTGGCTACTACTGAAAGCACAATAAAAGATGCTGCTTAACAGCAACTGGACTTCCTCATGGTACAACTGTTTGTAGGCACATTCACACTCTCGATGATTGTGCATTACAAACAGACAAGACTGAAAATTATTTCCCTTTGACAATGACCACGTGAAGTTGTGAAGCCCAAATACCTCATCCTATGACAGCACAAATCAAAGCACATGCCTTGTTCTTATTTCTCTCAATCTGTAATCCCAGTTTAAAGGATAAAAAAGTAAAATGAGGAAACAGGTGGGAAGCAATTCTGTAAAGTAGCTGACGCGCATGTAATCATTCAAGGAAATTGTCCATGCACAGAGCTGAACTCTGTGGATGTGTGAGGTGCTGCTTGGACTTGTCCAGTTGCCTGAAGAGAGGCTTCCCAGTCCCTCAAACAACAACTATACTGCAGAAAAACTTCCCTGACAGCAAATGCAATTTTTTAATGGCTCCATGACAACACAGTATTAGATGAGCCAAACAGAGCACTTGACAAGTGTCTAGGATGAAAATGCTTGGGGTTTTTCTAAGCAGGACAAAGTGTGAGTATGAACCTAAACACACTTCACTAAGGAGGTGGAACCACAATACCATCTCAATACACCACTGCCCATTTTGATTAGCACCATACAAAAATAGCTCTATCCCCGGACCTCACTGCGAAGGATACAAATTGGCCTGAAGGGCAACAGACTAATCCAAGACATATGAAAAGACAGCTTTCCAGCAAGCAACGTGTTCCCCAAAATGAATTTTATTTGAAACATTAACTCAGAATCAGTCCTAATTATAACAACTCAAAGTCCACAAGAAGGTCTGACACCTACACAGGCATCCTCTCTCCAGGTACAGAGACAAGCAGCATCCATTCTGGGGGTAAACTGAGGAAACCAGCAAATGATAAATTATCTGCCTCCGTTCACATGCTTCAGTAAAGGGCCATTCCTGAAAGCCTTCCAGCCATCCAACACCATGGAAGCACTGTTGAGGGTTAACTCAGAAACGTGAAATGATCTGTTGGCTTTGTGCAAGACATGTACTAAGTTATTTGTAACCAGAAGAATACACAGCTGGCATTCATCGACCAAGGGCATCCTCAAATAACTAGGCCTTGAAGAAACAGTTAATCAAGATGTTTTGAGGACATTCTATGTACCTTGCCAACTTGACAAGAAAACTCAAGATCCATGTATCCTTAGTTGAAATACTCTCATTTTAATACAAAAAAAAAAAAAAAAAAAAAAAAAAAAAAAAAAACACCCCCAGGCCAAATCACACCCACAGGTCAAAAATACCCTTGCCCAGGTGAAGACCCTTCCCCTGAGCATGCATAGTATTAAAACGCCTGTGTAAGCAATATTATAATCGTATGTAAATTACTAACCAATCATTGTGGAGGGAATAGAATTGAAAAGCTACTAACTCGGCAGTTTTTGTGTGGAAGGTCCTGTCGGGTGTTCTAGCTTTGTGGGGTTACCACCTAGCACCCATGTCTGCACAGACATGAAACATATATCGCAGCTCGGTGTGTAAATTGGCTTATTGCACACCGGATGAAAGAACCCAGATTTTGTGACAATCGTACCATCAGCTACATTATATGCTACTTAGTGACTCTATGCAATTGACAATCACTGAAAATCATCCCCAACTCCACTTAAGAAGAATCAATCCCCCTAAAAATTTTTTTAAAACATCTCATATCGATACTTAGCTGCAACAACTAAATATCTAGCTAATGCCAAGTGCAAAAAGACTCCTGGACAGAACAAAGAGCACATGAGCAAGGCTGCGAATGCCTCTACTCTTTTTTTTGGCCAATCTTTTCAGAATTCATGGTAACTGATACAAAAATTAATGGCTGGAGTTTCACCCATCTGGAATTTACCATTTCTAGTCATCCCTAAGAGACAGCAGGGTATAAAGGTGGTCTTAGAGGCTAGTGATTGACTTGTCCATCGTCGAAGCGGATACAGCCTGTGCCAGAACCTGAAGTAGACAGTTTTATCTGAGAAAACACAGCACCCAAAGCTGATTGCCAAAAGCCTTCTCCAAATTACCCTAATTATTAGAGGAAAAAGATACCTCCAAAATCAGGTGGGGCAATCAGAAGGTATGGAAAGGAGGCAGGGGAAAAAAAGATGAAAAAAGATAACTTACCAAAGAAAAATCTCAATAATCAAGGTGTGTCCCATGCTAAGTGGGCACTGATGTAATTACAGCAAAAGGTATGGCATTAAGAAGTCAAAGGAAGAGCATTGCCCCATCTCAGACTCTTAACTCACTGCAAGTAGAGAGCCAGGGGAAAAACCTGACTCTCTCTGGCTCAAAAATCAAAGCCTTAAGAATCTGTGAAGGCATTCTGATACTCTCAAATATTTACAGAAAGATCAGTAGCTGCATCTCTTGACCCAGGAGTCAAGTCATCTCAGAAGAATGTCCCTGATTTTAAGGAACAGCTGAGCAGGGCAGAGAAGCACTGAAAGTCTTGAGGGATAACTCAAAGCACAGTAATCTGTTTCTCTCACCTGAGTGCCAGGAAGCACACAAAGCCTATGTGCCAGGAATGAGATTCCTACCAGCAGAATAGGCATTACCTGCAGTAGACAGACTTTGTCCCCGACGACAAAGAGGGATGATCTAGTGGTCACAACTGTCTTGGTGTTTCTTAGATAAAACTCGACAACAGCAGGACACTTTCACTTTGCTTAACTTTACTTTTTTTTTTCCTCCCCCCCAACCAGCCTCATTAATGCTAAGGAAGGGGCCAAAGAACAAAATTCCAAGGTTACCATAAGAAAACACACTGACTCAAACGCTTCCTGTCATACCACAGTGTGAATGGGCACACAGAAACATCATTTCATCAAAGACACTGCAAATAATATTAATTTCAACTGTCAGTTCTGACAACAGCAGCTCTTTATGTTTTGCAGTGTCTGTTCTAACCATGTGCTCAAGAGGAAGCCAGTCCTGAAATAAAATATATACTTTTCTTCAGAAAAGGGCAAAGTCCATACTCCTTGCTTCTAGGCTAACAAACATCCAGAAGTATCTGAACAATGGGAATGTAGCTTACCATACTCAACGTTGTTAAGAAACCTGCATTAGGATTAGGTGGTTTGGAAGTAAGAAAGGTGGCAGATCCAGAAAAGCTGTATGTTAACATGGAAAAGTCACGAGAAACTTTATTTTTAAAGTTAATGAAACCTCAAAACCAAAGTTTTAAGCACAGACTAGGTGTGTTCCATGTTTAGAGTTTTTAAAAAGAAAAGGCTAACATGAAGGAAGACCCTGCAGAAGTATAAGCCTGCAGTGCTTAACAGCTTGATCTTTAATGGGAAGAACATTTAGGATTCTTAGAAGCACTTAGCTTTAAATTAATCTCAGACTACTTACACGTAAAGCAAAGAAGATGAGCTAAGTAAAGCAAAACACTATACAAATAACTACCAGAGAGTAAGGTGTTAATAGTAGATTAACACTCCAATTAAAAACATTGATTATATTATAAGCATAGAGCATCACACCACACAAATTATTTGATTCTATCGCAGCAGTTCAGCAAACAAGAATTTTAATTTGGGGTAAGACTTACAACATCCAAAAACGCATTAGCGTTTGTGCTGTGCTACAAGAAGAATCAAAGCTCCCATCTAATTTGAAGGTACATGGATCTGTTTCTTCCTTGCTTTAAACAAACTGGATGGCTAGGATAACCCAGCTTTTTGCCCAGGTCACTGTACAAGCTCATCCTAAATAAATGTCTTCACAACAGTAGCTGGAATAAACCCCATCAACTAGAACAAGCTACCACACTTGCAGTGATTACTGGTAACCGAGATGACAGCTTTATCAAAACTAACAAGCATCCATACAGTTGATCAGGTTTGCCAGAATCTACCCTGCCCTCACTGACAGCACTTCAGTGGCAAGTCAGGGCTCAATGTCACTGACAAACCCGCTGCCCCTTAAGCTTTCACTCATTCCTCACTAAACCCCTGCCATTCCAACTCACGGACGTAAAAAGCTACCACACGCCTCGTGTACGTCACAAGTTATCAGCTGTTTCATGTCATTAAACTACACCACCCAAAGCTATTTAAACTACCAAATAATCTTGATTATCACTGGAAACAGTATCACGCACTGCATTACCTTTTTATTTTCCCAAGCTTTCAAAGCCACTTGGAAGAAGACAAACCCATACTTCCTTCCCAGTATTAAGAAAATAACCTCATGTACTTTGAGGAGCACACAACTAGTGACCACGCAGCTTCACAGCCAAGCCATACAGAGAACGAGGCAGGCAGGGCTGAAACGTAGCAGCTTACTCCTCTATCCTGGAAAAACATACGTGGTTTTTTCCTCCTCGGACAGCTGGCATTTAAGAGGTGCAGGTGTCCTAGCTGCCGCTGGGGAAAAGCATCCCCTCAGACCACCCTGGCAGGGAGACGACCGCCAAGGGACGAGCTGCCCACCCCCGGCC